CCACAAAACATCATCCTTCTCCAGAGATACGACGACCATTTGGCTCATTGAAGAGTACGTACTCTTTCCCTGTGTGAAGAAACTTGTTAAAAGATCCCCGTTTTTCACGATTTCTAGTCTGTCATCGTCCTGGGGCAGATTAAAGCATGTCGCTGAAAGAATGTATATCCCTAAAGATGGAGTGATCATATGGCCATGGTTAGGATCGTATGCATTGCCGATATTTGTAATTATCTTGTCATACTGAACTGCCTGGTTAGGCCCTAATGTCAAATGATGTGAAAGTGACACTGAAAATGCAACAACGTTTGCTGATGTAACTGAAAAAGTAAAGGCTTTTTTTAGTAAACACATTTAAAGTATTAACCAATCTACATCGCTCTTTTTTTATGTCACTTATGTCTATTTTCATTGTACTATTTTTTATAACTTTGCAAAATATGTGCAGACAGCCTTAAAAATGCATTACATTCATTAATATCAGCAGTTGAAAATGTTTTACGTTGGTTTGTATGGTATATATCAGTTTAGGTCGAAAGACACAATTTTGTCTCTTATGCGATAGAGGTAAAAAAAAAAAGCCTCATATTTAATCGAGCATCTAGTATTTTTACAATATCAATATGACGATAATCGCATAACCGATATGTCGGATTGTATCTGTGTGTTTTGAATGATATCAATAATAATAATATATATGTGTTTGTTTTACCAGCCAACCGGAGAATGACTTGATAAGATCGTGTCAAAATTGTGGAAACTATGAAATCGGTGGCAAGTCCAGGTCAGCTATATTTATCGTCACAAAATCATAAAATGGTAGAGTTGAGCACAGACCAATATTTTTTTTTGTATGTGCAGATAATCAACATAATGTTCATGTACGTCATTATAAATATCAAAAATGAGCTCAAATCGTTAAAACGTTGAATTGTATGAACTCATAAGATGGTAAACATGATAGGTTTTTAAAAAATAAAACGATACAAAGGGGGTAATTCGTGAGGGAGAATTCATGCATATTAGAGAACAGGGATATTTTCTGGAGTCTATATCATCTATGTAATTCTGAGCCTTAATCCATCAATTGTAAACACAACTTCAAAACACTGATGGATTCAGTCGAGGATTATGCCAGGAAATGGGTTAAACGCGAGAAAGAAGACGTTGAGGTACTGTTTCCGAATGGATTAAGGCTGTGAGATCGTTGATACAAAGCAGAATTAAGAAACTGAATGGGTCTATGAATACACATGCTACATCAATATTTAAAGACCCAAATGTTGCAAAACACTCGTCCTACCTCCATGACAAATATGTTGTTGTCCCCGCAGATGAAACCCCAAACAACATCGCTTTTGTGTGTAAATCACATTACATAAACTGATTGATAAATGAATTAGGTATTGACAATTCACTCGGAAACTCAACATATACCCCCACGACACTTACCAAATTGGAAATCCTTAATAATAAAAGGTCTGTTCTATGTTCCTTTGGTTTTTCAACCAAAGATGAAGAACTGGATCTTCCATCACTTTACTGGATACCTAACTACATAAATGTCCTTACACAACACGACGGGTGCCACATGTGGAGCAGGATCTGCTTATCCTTCCGGAGCACCTGAGATCACCCCCAGTTTTTGGGGGGGGTTCGTGTTGCTCAGTCTTTAGTTTTCTATGTTGTGTTTTGAGTACTATTGTTTGTACATTGGTCTTTTTCTTTTCTTTTTTAGCCATGGCGTTGTCAGTTTATTTTCGACTTATGAGTTTGAATGCCCCTTTGGTATCTTGAGAACCCCTCCCCCTTTTCCATGCTTTACATAAGGATGTTTTATATTCGTCTTTTTATGTGTTGATTATTAAACAAATCGATTATCATTATTTTTGACTTCTTTTAGGACAGATAATTCGTTGCATCCAACCATATAAGTAATTCATATCACTAAATTTCTTACCAAGCTTCTTTTGAACTTCTGTAACTGGTTTCTGTTGGCTAGGATTTATTTCACAATTTACGAAACTACATATATAGTAACAAGTTACAAAGAAGATAAGTATTTCACAACACATTGTTTGATATTTGTCTACCTACAACGGCCTAACGTCAACAATCATTAATTCTATATACTGTCCTGAAAGATAGTGGAAGTCCTGGGTCAGATATGCACAAATAATGTAAAAACATGACAGAAGTGACATTATATAATTTGTCAAATAATTACACACAATCTATTCCGGTCTGCCGTTACTTTTGTTTTAATTTAGTCGCATTATATTTGATTTTGGAAAGAAAGTACAGTCTATGATAAACAATTTGGTGGTCACCGACTTCTATTTGCAAGTCTAGCAAACTCAGATCCTGCGATTTTTCCCAAGATGAAGATTATTTGGGTGCTATTCTCAATTTCAAATATTAAATAAATCTCGACTTAAGAACCTTATTTTTTAAGTTTTTTTACTATTAGGTGTATATTTAGCCGCTCTTAATTTTTTTTGCTATGGCATTGGCAGTTTATTTTTGACTTATGCGTTTGAATATCCGTTTGGTATCTTTCGCCTTTCTTTTAGTAGGGTTCAATTTTGTAAAAGCATACATTTACTTCTTGTTGCTACATGTTATACTTCAATCAACAGTAGAAATCTCAGGCCTCAAAATAAAATCAGTAGAAAACTGCAATAGAAAGTATGTTCATGCACTGAGAACGATAACTACATTAAATATGGAGAAGTAGTACAATTGACTATGAGACAATTATCCACCAGAGATCAAACGACGTAGATATAAACAACCATAGGTAATCATAAGGCCGTCAACAATGAGCAAACCCTATACCGAATATAAAAAACCCCTGCATGACAAAATATAAAACAATTAAAATAAGAAAACCAATGACCTGATTTATGTACAAAACAACAAACGAAAAACATCTGATATACAACACCAAACGAAAAACATATGATATACAGCACCGAACGAAAACAAAACAACCACTGATTGATATGCGTATGACTCAAGACAAGCACATATAAAATGTGGCGGGGCTAAACTTGTTTGCGGGTTCCCAACTCTCCTCTTACGGGAGACAGCTGCGTAAGAACAAAATATAAAAACAAACTATAAAAAATTAGATCGATGCAAAGCACAACAACAACTAACAAAATCACTAAATACACTTTGTACAGATCTGAGAATACTCGCAGTTACTGAAAGTAAGTTCAAAGCCAATAACAACTAAAACCAACAACATGTATCCAAGACGAAATATCAATCAGTACACAACCGATGGATTTAGTGTAAAGACGTCAAAGACAATTTAGGAAAACATGACATTGTGCAATGATTTAAATTATCGTTATTTACTTAACTTCCAACTCCAAGTTTTTCACGAATATTCAGAACAAAGGCAGATGTTGATAAATGATTCACTACACCAACTTCAGAAAAAAAGAAGATCACAGGAACGGAAACACAGAATTAAATCGGCGAATTGAGTTATGCGTTACGATACCTTAATTTTATGGATCTTCTAGTTAAATTAATTTTACAATAGGGGCTAATGAAATAATTCATGAAAACAGAACACCACTTACAAACACATCGATAAATCATTTTAGGGAAAAACTATAAAGGTATAATTCAGATGGAAATCTTTACCAGTAGAAAACATTACAACAGTTACTTCTTATTAGATACATATGTAGACTTCTCCCCCATAAAGCCAGTGTCCATGCATTCATTTGGCACATCTATCGATTTATATGCACAAGTGTGTTTCAAGTTATTAGAATTATTTCCTCCTAGATTTGATGAAAGTGAATCTTTCTATATCGTATTAGAAAGGGAAACACACACTTTACACTTGAGGTCAAGAGACATGTACTTAATTAGGATTGTTCATAGAATTAACCATGTTCGAAATATTCATTCTACAACGTTGTTCTGCAAATATATTATTATTTCATTTTCAGACAACCCAAGGTAAGATACACATACTATTATTAGGATGCACCTATTTTCGTTAGTTCTGCTTAAAAAATATATGTAAAGGTTCACAACTCCACTAAATACAGTAAACCTATATCACTTAAACTGTTTTTTTCTATGTAGTGCAATTGTGCATATCCATCTAATTTATGAATTTATGATAGGTCGAAACAAGTTGAAATACGATTGAAGATTTTGAATTCCTCTGAACAATGACAGATCTGATAGTTTCGGTAGCTAATAAAACTTTATATTTATATGAACCAAATACTTGTATATTATTTCCTTAATAATCAGCGTGGTGCATTCATCACTACTGTTGTCATAACGTAATCAGATCCTTCCGCTGCACCCAAATTATTAGTTTCAACTTTAGCTCAAATTGTAATTTACAGTGTAGTGATGTCTTGACTGTTGTTTTTCTTTTTATCGTTTTTATTCTGACCATTTGTGTTCTGTACCATTTTACACAACTGTTTATTTTCATTGCGTTCTTGATATCTTCTCACTTTCTCATTAATGTTTCATTTTTAGTCCTGTTAAGATGAAAATATAAAATTAACTGTATATCAAAAACTACCATACTTGTCCACATTTGTCCCCCCCCCCCCCCCCCTCGTAATATTAATTTATTATAATGTTTCCGATAAAGAACCAAATCAATGAAAAAACAATTGATTTTCAGCAGCATGTAAAATTCTATACTTTTCTGTTAAAGAATATATTTGAGATTTCCGCTTTTTTGTGTGTTTTTTTTTTTTTTTTTTTTAATTATGAATTTTCATATAATAAGTATGAACACGAACAATATCATTGCACCCTTGTACATGTATTAAGAACTAGTTTATTATTGTTTTCTAATCAGTATTTATTTTTACCTATATTTTTTTATATATTTGACACTGTAAATAAACTAAACTTGATTTTTATATACCTTAATCATTACAATGAATAACCGCTTTATTACGTATATTTTCATTCTTCTTTTTATCATTTTTCATTTCAGAGCAAAGATTGTCTATAAAGAACCATGAATATAGCATCACTAAATGTCGTAACAATAATATTCACTCTTGTAGCAGGGGATAACAAGTCGAATTTATCCTATATTTCGTGTCCGTTCGATCATCGATGCATATGTTCAACATCGCCTATTCTTGATATAGATTGCAATAACACACAGATAACAAGGAACGATATCCCATATTTTCCTCGTAATGTGAACCAACTCAATTTGGGATTCAATTTTCTGGTGCAAATTCGAAACAATACGTTCCATCTGATGCACGAATTATCGAAACTAGATTTGTCATGGAATGAAATAACTGTCATAGAAGAAGGAACATTTGATGACCTACATAATCTACAAGAATTGCATTTCGAAGGCAATTTGATAAACTGCAGCCAAGGCGCACTTCCAATGAGTGTTTTCAAATCACTTACGTCTCTAAAATTTCTAAATGTAGCAAAAATGCAGAACTGTAAAAGATTTCCGGATTTTATAATATCTGGTCTCACCCGTCTTGAAAGCATAGTCATTGATATAAGACCAATAGTTGCAGTTCCCGAGTTTGGAGTTGGTTATCTGTCACTGAAACACTTCAAACGGCTAAAGGCTGGATTTTGTATATTGCTAGGGGTTGACAAAGACACATTTGTAAATCTTCCATACGTTGAGTATTTAGATCTGCAAAACTGTTTATTAATGCAAATAGAGAGCAAAACATTTACTGCAAACACAAACTTAACATATTTGGATATATCAAATAATAATTTGCTAATCGATGTGTTTCCTATTTTATCTCAAGCACTTCCTAATTCATTGAAAATATTAAAAATGTCAAACTCAATGCGGGATTTATATAGTTTCAACCCAAACCTGATCTTTAAATCAGATGAAACATCTTTAGAGGAATTCTACATTAATGGAAATAAGTTCGTTTATGCGCTCGGTGATGAAGATCATAAACTACCGTCAACTTTAAGGATTGCTGATTTTTCAAATAATATACTGATGAAGTTTTGTTTCGACATGCCCAATTTATTAGCCTTAGATTTACGAAATAATTCATTGGGTGTGTATCTTGCTTCGAACAGATATACTTATTCGAATGAAACTACTCTAAAACAAGTAGATTTATCTTTAAATGAAATCCATGATTTGACCTTTCCGATATTTCATGGTCATGCCTATACAACAAAAATAAATCTAAGCTACAACAAGTTAACTGATATATCTTTTGATCTTTCACATTTAGTCCGACTTGAAATTCTTGATCTCTCGCATAACAATATTTGGAGTGTTTCTAAACTAAGTTCGCTTGACATTTTACACACATTATCAACCTCAGCAAAACTCAATTTATCTTATAATAGGCTAAAGTGTAGCTGTAAAAATCTACCATTTATTCAATGGCTTTTAGAAAATCGTAATATGATGGTCCAGAGTAAGGGCTACAATTGCCGATATGAAAATGGACAAATTGCTGACATGAGAGATGCTAGTCTAATAGATATATTGTTAAAAAAAGACTGCAGATCATATACAATACTAATAGTTGGTGTTACGGTAGCATTACTTATCGTGCTCATTCTTCTGTTTGCAGGACTAATATTCAGGTATCGATGGAAACTACGCTATTTGCTTTACATGACAAGGCATAAATATAAATTATACAAAAGCATTCAATCTAGCAAACATTATAAATATGACGCATTTATTTCTTATGCGAATGCTGAAACGGGATTCATTTCGAATGAGCTCATTCCAAATTTAGAAAGAAATCACAACTTGAAATTATGCATACATCAGCGTGACTTTATACCAGGAGAAGAAATTACCCAAAACATAACGAATGGAATTCACCAAAGTAAAATGACAGTTTGTATTTTAAGTCAGTCATTTTTAGATTCGTACTATTGCATGTTTGAATTCAATATGGCAAGAATGGAGAGCATCTATGCAAGAGAAGGTAAAAATGTGCTTTTTCTGATATTATATGAGCATATTCGACTAAAAGACATGCCATTGGTTATGTTAGAATTCGTTGAACAGCAGTCTTACATAGAGTATCCTAGAGATGAACAGGGAAATATTGTCTTTTGGGAAAAACTGAAGGACGCTTTATTATGAGCAGTTAGGGATAATAATTTGAATAAAAGATCAATCATAGTTTATTTACACCCAAGCCGTTTATGATGTGGTTCGTTTCTTTTGTTGTTGTGTATATAGATCTGAATTTTCGTCGTGCATTGAATTATGAACAAAGACCGTTTTATGCCATGTTGAAGTATATTTATGGCTATATATACAGTTTGTACTTTGTCTTCTTTCCTTCTATCCGTTGTTTGCTTTTTTATGTGCGCGAATGAGGTGTGATGTTTACCAAGATCCCAATATGCATGCATGACTTACATACACATTTCTTATATAAAAATAAGAAGATGTGGTATGTTTGCCAATAAGATAACTCTTCAATTAGAGTCCAAGAACATGGGACATAGAAATTAAAGACTATTGGTCACCGTATGACCTTCAACAATGAACAAAAACCATACTGCATAGTCAGTTATAAATGGCTCCGAAATGACAAATGTAAAACAATTCAAACGAAAAAAAACAAACGAACAACAAGTATTATATACAGCAACAAACAACAAATTTACAACTGATTTACTGGCTTCTGACTATGGTCAGGCACATGAAGAATTTGGCGGTTTTGAACGAGTTTACTCGCGGCAAACCCTTTCCATAGCTTTGGACAGTAGTGTTACAGTTCATAGTTTTTACCTCTTTAATAGATTACAATAGCTGTATTTTGCAAAACTTTTAGGATTTTTGTTTCTCAATTATTTTCAACTTCGTCCTTTATTTGGTCTTTATAACACTTTTTTGATTCGAGCGTCACAGATGAGTCTTTTAACAAAAAAGAAAATATTCCAATCTATGTTACCATAAATAAAAAGACGATATTAACTTCAACATGTTCGAGGAACACAAACAACAGTTATAGAACAGAAAGGGTAAAGCAGATTATAAAACATAACATTACTTATTTTGCTATACATTTGTTATACTAGATGTTTGAATCTAAAATGGCAAAAATTGCAAGTGTTTTTTTTTTCAAGTGATGTCAGATATACTCTTACATGTATTTTTAAAAAGACATATATGTTTATATGATAATACAAGAAGTGTTATTTGTGTTTCTTTTGTTTGATATAAAATTAGGTGTCAGACCACCAATTCACTCCCTCCAATTTAGAACGTATGTAAAAGTAGCCCTTCTATGACACAAGATAATCCTTTTGATGGCACTGTTTACTTAAACTAACCAAAAGATTTACAGAAAAAGACACTTTTGGTAAAAGAGATATATATTTAAACCATTTTGAGCAAAACTTTAGTTGTCTATAGATGAGTTTGCATTAACAATTGAGGATTAATGCGCTCCATAAAATACTAATTTTAGATTTCAAGAAAACCAGGGTAATTTTTAGAAGGACTTATCTTTCAAAAGACAATTCGTTCTTAGAAAACCTTAACATGGGTTGACATTTTGGCATGTCGAAAAGTGATTCATGTACAATTCAGGATATACCTGGTTTCTATTAAATTAAATTGAAGGTCAAATATTAAGAAAGCTGTGAAAATTGCAAAATTTGGTTAAACAGATAGGGATTTTGAATTGGCGTATGACACGGTTAAAGCTAAATAGTTTCCTGAATTTAAATTGATTAGTGAGTGATCAATACAAAGATGTCAATAGATATTATGTTTAATATTAAAATATCATATGTATTGTGTCACTAAAGACATAGCCTATTATCCATATTTGGTGATTGTTGTACATTTCACAATATACGGTCATATAAAACGTTTATTGCTGTTATTTTCATTAACTTTTTGTCCATTCCGTGAATTTATTATTTTGTTGAATTTTGATATCATCTACAATGTATTTCTACATCTCCCTCTGATTCCTAGTCCATATATGGTAATATACTGTAATAGTTATGGTACGGTTTGGTTATATCAGCTCCGATCTTTTCAATAAAGGAATTTAATTTGGTGGAAAAATAAATAACAAGGGAAGATTAAAAACTCAAAAGTAAACAAAAAATATCAACACAACTGCAAAATAATGAAAATGCACTTTAAACCAACCAAGTTCATAAAAAAACTAGTACTGCATAGAACAATTTTAACTCGTGTGCTTGATTGGTAAGCAGCTCGTACTTCTCACATAGCACTCGTTCTGTTGCTTTTGCAAGTACATATTGAATTGTTATTTAGGTTTATGATTTTCAAAATGTTTGGCTTTGAGCATCACTAAAGAGATATGTAATGTCAAAATGTTCATTTAGAGCAGTAACATAAGAACTGTTAATTGTACTGACACACACTTGCCTATATTTTGAGTGTATAAAGGTTTGCTTGGAAGAACTGCACTAACCAAACGAATTAATTCATGATCAAAATTCAAACTTTAGACTTGTTTCATACACAATTTTGTTTTTGTTATCATAGTTCATTTATCATTATTTTCTCATTATTAAAACTTTTTTCATAACTGTGATTTTTGCTATAGCTATCTGCAGTAATTGTGAAGTACCACCCCTGGAATAGACAGCAAGTGCTTCAAACATGTATTCTATGGTTGGATTATGCGTTATTACATCCACTATTTTTTCTCATGTAATTAGAGTTAATAATTTATTGATATTTGGTTTTAGGCCTTCTGTCATTTTAAACATACTACGCATCACTTTTCAATTATTGGAAAGTTTTTTTGTCTATCTGACGGATTTGCATACTAGGTCATGTGGAAGTATCAATCAGTTTTCATTTTTTATTATTATATTTTTATTGTAATATTTTTTTCGAATATCAAACACTGCAACGTTTTGTTTGTCCAAGCATATTTTAATGTCACCAAGTACAAAACCATCGATTGAACCATTCCCTTTTATCTATAAGTTATTGTTTGTTTCCGCAACAAACAATAACCATATATAATCGTATTTGTACACGATGAAATAGGAAATTGAAACTTTCCGATCAATTATGTACCATGTGAAAAAATTCAGGCGTAATACTACTTCCTCTATTTCTATTTTAGAAGAAGTATAAGTGCAGTGTTATGTTATTTTATTGTTGAAGCTAATATGACAACTTTTTCAAATGGTAATTATGAAGACTTTAAAACATGGTTTAAAAGTAAAGCAGCGTTAAACTTTCTTTAAAATGTCATTCCTACAATTGTTCAACTCCACCAGCGAATCAATAAAATAAAACGACACAAATATAATTATGTAAAACAAAAAGTACCCATATACAGTTCATGCATGTGATATCAGTATATCTAGCATTTACTGTAGTACACCGTAAAGTTATACGTGACGTACGATTTTCAATGGCTCTCTTGAACATGTTGAAGGCGAAGTTTAAGGCATAACAAACATATGTCAGTCTTTTTTAAGGGCAAACAAGCATTGGCATTCTAAATTAGTGTTTGTTTCTGCCATATACAAATATATTACAATGATACGTTTTTAAAATTTTGTTTATTCAATTGTTAATTCGACTGATTGACTCACAGGATGAAATAAATTTGAAAATGCTTAAGTTCATTTTGAAGCTAAGATACCGCGTTATAACATCTGTAAATAACCTAAAACATGTTTTAAATTAAATTCTAATAACATGAACACAAATATATCCAATTAAAAACTTGCAAAAAGAACTATTTAGTAATGTATACTTGAGACTTAAGAACTGGTGTTTATAAATGTATAGTCTAGAAGATAAATTGTAGTTTGCAACGCCAATTTTGGGACCAAACAGATCTCAGTTGACTGCAAGCATATAGCCTGAACACTACTTAATTCGGAAAATCTGAAAATTATAAAATTGAAGAGGACTTTCTTCTTTATTGTTCAGTTTCTTCCAGTTCAAGATAGATTATTGGACAGTAACATATGCAGCAACTGAACATATATCTAATTCACCATAATAAGATAAAAAGGAAACCGCCTAAAATTGCTCGAAAAGGTTAAGTTGTACTTGCACTATAAAAGATGCCCGTAAATAACGGGTGTAGATCATGAAGATGGTAGATATGTGTCATATTGGCAATCATGCAGTTGAACAGATGTAACACGACGGGCATCGTTATTACTCAAGGAGAAACCTAGCATTCCGTTGTAACTGAAGTCGTTTATTTTGGTGGATCTAGTATACATACCAGAATGTATGCTACAGATTTTGTATAGTGCACACAACATGTGATCTGGGAAAAATTTTCAACAAGAGGGCACAAATCAAAACACTATAAAGCCAAACATCCAATTGTTATCGAGCAACAAGACGGGACAAAAACTGTCTACTCAAAACAGCATGAGTAGTCCAGAATCATCATAAATTAATGATAATTCTTTTACATGCATCTCCAATAAATTGAGTATTATGATGAAACAGAAAGGATAGAGAGTTTTTCTTTTGAAAAAAAAATCACAATACGAACTAATGCAATAGTTTGAAAGTTACATTCGTCTGTACTACAAAGGCTATATTTACGTCATTTACGCCTGTATTTATCAATCATTCGTAATTTATCTATAACAATAATAAAATTCTTGAAGAGCGCCAATAATATTTAAGGGTTCGGTTACGTTTCAATTGTAGTTAGACTTGGCATGTCTATTTTTTTTTTGAACAATTCGAGTGTCAGTGTTTTGTATGGTCTTTACTACTGTGTCTATTTTTTGGTGAATCATTTCATCTTTTTTATGTTTTATATATGCCCTTGCGAGTAAGATTGATAGATATATTATAGTGTTTTTTTTATCATGCACAATTAAAACAAAAATCAGACGCATAACAGTTATACTGTGACATTCACAAAACACTTCTATAATTCCGCATCAAGTTCTGACTATTTAATTTTTCCAAGAACAATCACGTCTTAATCAGTTCAAAAAATCAATTACGTGTCAAAAGAACATCTGTATTAGTATATAGAAAGATAATGAAATGTCATTCTATTGCTTCTTTGATCTTGTCCCAAAACAACACATTGCCTTGTTCATCATTTGGGTATTCAATGTAGGAATGCTTCTGAATAAGTTCTAACATAACCAAAGATAAATCCTTTGCTGGAATTTTCTCATAGAACACTAAAAATAATATATTTTGTCCCTTTCTGTGATAAATATTTTCCATCCTAGCCATATTGAATTCAAAATTACAATAATATGAGTCTAAAAATGATCTTGTTATTATACAAATCGTTTTCTTACTGTCATGAATGGCACTTGTAATGTTCACTGTAATTTCCTCTCCCGGTATAAAGTCCCTCTGATGAATACAAAGCTTTAACTTCCTTTCCACTTCAAGTTTTGGAATGCACTCTTTAACTATGAAATTCTGTTCGTTGTCAGAATACGATATGAAGGCATCATATCTGTACTGACCTTCAGTACCCGGGGGTTTATATCGATTATATTTACTCTTAGTCATATAATACATATATCGAAGCTTCCAACGATATCGATAAATTAAACCAGCAACAACGAATATAATGGCCAAACACAAAACCAGCGATATACAAATAACTAAAATCGTGTAGTCTCTGCATCCTTTGATAACTTGTTCAACATTGTGAACAAAATTTCTATTTACAACTATTCCGCTATCGAGTTTACATGTGTAACGATTAATGTTATGAAAAACAGTCACATGGTTAAGCATCCATCTGAGAAATACTATCTCTTTACATACACATTCAAGAAGGTTATTTGATAAATCTACTTTGAATTTTGACTTCATTTGGATATTGCTAATTGCCTCCCTTGCTTGCAAGTTCGATATGCTTGTTATATTATTGTTAGATAAATCCAGCATTTCAAGCCTCTTTAATTGAGAAACGTCAAAAGCAATGTCTGATAAGAGGTTGTTACTTAGATTAATAATTCTTAATTTAAGTTGGTTATTAAACACTGACCATTTTAGTTTATGAATTTCATTAAAAGATATATCCACTGTTTCAAGTAAGTAGCTGGTATCGTTTTCGATCATTGGAGCATATGATTCAGATGCTAAAAACCTACCAAGTAGATTTTGCTGCATATTAATTTTTTTTAAACTCGGCATATCAAAGCGACAGTCGATTAGTTTATTATTTGAAAAATCCAAATATTTAAGCGTTTGTGGAAGTCTTTCTATATATTCAACTTCAGGTGTTGCATTGACAAACCAGTTCTCGTTAATATACAGCTCACGTATTTTGGTGGCATCCAAATAATAGAACAATAGCTTTGGTAAATTCATTTGGTATGGAAATGTATTAGTTAATATCAGTGTTTCTAAGAGTTTCATTTTCTCTGTATCTTCAACCAAGTTTGAAAACCCCTTGAAGTCCAACTCATTGTTTGATAAATTAAGAATTTTCATTCGTAACAAACTTTGCAGTGTAGACGGGTTATAAACTGTAATCGTACATCTCGAAATTTGTAAATGCTCTAAATAGGGTACATTTACAAATGTATTTTTGTCAATTTCATTCAATAAGCAATTCCCAAGGAATAATTTTGTCAACTTCTGCAATCGAGAATAGCCTTTACCAAACGATAGAACCCGACGAACAAAGATAGCATCAACATAAAAACTCTGTAAGGTAACAATATCAGATATGATATCGTCAGGAAAAGTATGATCATATTTCATACTATTGCGTTGGACATTAAGAGATTGAAGACTGACTACTGGTCTAAAGATGTGTGTTGGAAATACAGCATGATCATATCTCAATTTGTTGTTTTGCAGTATTAATTGTTTCAATGAGTGAAGATCAATAAAAGCCTCTGGTTCTAAAGTGTTTAGACGATTCCAAGACAAATCGAGTGTAACTAGCTGAGACAGATTCTTAAAAGTTCCATTTCGGATTAATAGAATATCATTATGAGATACATTGAAAGTGTACACATTTATCGGAACAGCTGGAACTGAAATTTTCCCACTTTTAGAGCAATCAACATTTAAGAGATCGTTTCTAAGACTGCATCGGCATCGCTTATCAAAATAACAGTTGTTTGAATTAGCCAAACCATATCGTACGTAATGCAATATTGCCAACAAATGTATCCATTTGAGAAACGCCATGACAACAATAATACTGAAATCAGAAACATAATTAGCCATATGTTAATTATAATAAACATACAAGTTAAAGATATAACTAGGTCGGAATGTGTAGACATGCACTGACAGTTAGAATTGAATGTCACCTATCTTAATTTACATGAACTTTTTAAAAATCATGCTTTATTACAAATGAACATGTAATCATGATAACTATTTTTATTGTCAGATTTTATTGTTGCAAGGCATCTTTGTCCATTTTAATTATCGACGTAAACATTTTAAAACGTCAAAATGAATTCATTCAAATCTCGTATTATAATTCATTACAAAAACAGTATTTCTTTTTTAATACACAGTCAAATTTTCCTCGCGTGAATTTCACATCAAACGAGCTTATACGTGAAACTCACGAACAAATATTCACCTGAATCACATTATGAAATTTTTCACATGAATTTCATATTAACTTCAACAAAAAACAAATGATATTTTTTTATGTTTAATCAAATTTGAGAATTCAGATGATATTTGAATAACTTTATTTTGAAAATATACCTGAATTTCACGTGAAAAATTCCATGTAATTTTCACGTGAAATAGCATGAGTCACATTAGATTCACATGAAACTCATGTGAAATCAGTTCATGTTAGTTTCACGTATAAGCTTATTTGAGATGATATTCACGTGAATTTTACATGCGATTCACATGAGTCTAAATTCACGTAAAATATCCCTGTCTTATTCTTTATAAACATTACATAGTCCTTTTTTGGTTCCTGAAATTAAGAAAATGAAATACGCAACATACCTCTGTGTAATCTATTGCACATTAACGATCTCTCGATGTGCTTAATTAATGTGATGTATAAACAGTTCTAATAAGGAAATATATTTACTTTCATTACGGTAAAATACAATCTGACCGGAAACCGCATGATGCAGTACGATCACACCAATATTACATATTTTATTGTGAATCTCTATACAATTAGTAAATGTCTGAGCAGTGCAGCTGCAAATGCAGTGCGACTAGGGAAAATTGTGATAAATGTATTGCAAATTTGGATTTTCTATGCTAAAATTTACTGCAATATACGTATACATGAAAACATATTTGTTTTCTCATTGGATCATCAAGAAAATTTTAAGTAACAACTATTGAAAGTGTTTCTCTTGTGGAAATTAATTTTATTTTAAGTTTAGTAGGAGAATACGTACGGTGACCCTTTTTGTTTGTTGATTTTAATAGCATATGTTTGTGTCGTTGGTCTATATCTGTCATATTTGTTTTTTCGTAAATTGTTTTGTTTAAAATGAGAACATTCGTTTTCTCAATAATTGATTTTTTTTCATGTAAGGGCCTTTTATAGCCGACCACACGGTATAGGTTTTTCTCGTTGTTGAAGGCCGTACGGTTGCCTATAATTGCTATTTTCATTTGTATTTTAATGGATAGTTATCTCATTGGCAATTATACCACATCTCCTTATTTTCATACGAGAGCTATCATCACATGTTTTATTTCATAGCTATATCAAATTATTTCCTAATCTTGCGTGTGGATATTTATCTGTTAGATTCTATATTCTATCGCAACGGAGCATTTACTTGCTTATGCGCATGCATATCACCGCATGCTTTAGCCTGTATTATCAGTACTTAAAGCTATTATTATAAGTGTAATGTGAATGTAAGTAAAACGTATCGCGTTTCAGTTAAAAAAAAACATATTGTATAAAGGGTTAACGCTGATATACTTAAAGTTATTTCATGAGGTATTAAAACATGACGAATGTTATAGCCTAATTTTTCCAGTAGTTATCCAGTAGACAGGGAAATACACAAATTGCACTATTTGGTATAATAGTCATGGCTATACAGGAAATTATATTCTATTTAATGTACACGTCCTAGTTTATCTCCTGAGACTTGCTGCATTTTGCTTCCAGTTTACTGCAACATTAGGTTTTGTCAGTCATTTGTTGTTGTTGTTGTTGTTTTTTTTGTTTTTTTGTTTTGTTTTTTTTTGCAGCAATACTTCAATATTTTTGACTGTAGTGGGAATATTAATTCAAAGGCTGTTTAATAGCGTAATGGATACCACAGACTACTGATATATCAAATATACATTCGTGATCAGCATCGTATCTATGAATTTAATATTTGTCGTACAACAAGAAAATTAGAGACGGTATTATGTAGTATAGATACAATGAATAAGCGTTGATTCTTGAAAAAGAAACCATGAGCCCGGATGGCGAATGGCTTGTTTTTTCATGAACTATTATGTTGATGTATTTTCAAAATTTAGCCTTTTCTCTTATTAGAAGGTATTGTAAGTGAGTTTAAATAACCACAGTATCATGTTCAACGATGCATTAATGCATCTAAGTTAAAAATTAATTGGTTAGAGAAATACAAATATAACCTAACACGTCTGTCTTTGAATAATCAGGCATCTGAATATTATCTGTAATTTACAAAATAAGACATATTCGAACTTAATTCTGAGTACTTGTATATAAAATAAGTATGTTACTGAAGTTTCTAGCAAGAAGCATAATTCTAGGTGCATCATGATTTAATCGCAAAGGATTTCTGCACAAACATTATGTAGTGAAACAGATGAAATCGTACTACATTTATAAAACAAAAAATGGACAAAGTGAATATACTCATTTTCGTTTCAAATATGTGAAATAGCCTATAATAATCGTTTTATCACAGAGCACTTTATTAAGTGTCTGTCGAGCAAGTCTGACTGGTTTGGTTTAAACAAAAATACAAGGTTTGCAAATAAGTCTGCCAGACGCGTTTCATATTTATAAAAAGTCTGGGAAGTTTCTCTGTGACGTCAGGACAAAACTGATTGGGTAAAAAACAAAAATACCAGATTTGAAATTCAGTACGCCAGACGCGTTCCATATCTAGAAGTAGTCTATAAAGTTTCTCTGTGACGTCAGGATAAGACTGATGCCAACATTTTCGTTTTTTTTTCTGAATTTTTTGTAGTTAAGAATCAATGAATAAAGAAATTGTAGAGATAATTTGTTTTGTTTACCTACTAGTTCTAAATTATATGATCTCCATGTTTCATTTCATGGAGACTTAACTGGAAATGTTACCAGTATAAAGACAGTTGCATGGGTAGCGGTCAAAATTAATTTTGGGGAAAGCTTAGTATACAGAGAAGGGTAGTTCAGATTTTTAGTATACGTTTAAACTCGAAATTCGAGGAATATACATGTCAAAAATATGCTGCATTACCCTATGCTATGACCTTTGCAAAACAGCAGGGCATGTACAATTTCGATTGTAGGATATTTTTTTTTATGAAACTTCATAGTAAATTTGGCACACTTTATGTAAATTGGGCACACTTTATGTCGTAAAAGGGAAATAGAAAATTGTATTGTCTATAGTAACAGAGGTGCAAACTAGATAGATTGAAAAAAGTTAATCTATTTTATTTAAAGAGATTTGAATGCAATTATAAATATAAAGTTTTATAAATATTTCATTGAAATTGAGAAAATGATAGGACTTAAATTAACAGTTCACAGTATGCATATTTCACCTAAAGCCTCGTTTGCAAAGTAAATTCAGGAAATATGTATATTATGAACTTTGAATTGTTAAGAAGTGCTTATACTTACTTTTTGATGTCATTAAAACTCATTGATTTTTAATGAAAATTTTTGTTCGAGTGTTTCGTCTTTTCGAAAACCTCAAAGTAAGCCGTAACACCTGACTGAGCATACTTGCCTCAGAGGTAGGGGTATTAAATGCACTATAAAAAGTCAGAGTGTATGCAGGAATTTCTTACAAGCTATAATTCTAGTTAAATATGTATTGTTGTGATAAGAAGTGTTTTCATAGCCTTGTTCTGTTTAATTGAATCAAAGTATAGGTTCCAATTTGTAAATACACCACGTCTCTTTTCGGGAGATACTTTTAAAATATCCATAGATATTTTGTTTTGTTTTGTTTACCTACCGGTTTCCAGATAAGATCCCCATGTTTCATTTCATAGAGACACACCTTAGGAATTTTACCAGTATCAAGACAGTAAGGTATCGGTCAAAATCGATTCTCATGAAAACTCAAAGTAAAATGAGGGGTAGTACAGGTAAGTACAAATTTTAAACTCTTAGAAGTTCAGGGATATAATCTCGCAAATATGCCGCGTAACCCTACACTTTGACCTTTACAATAAAAGATTGCATGTGGTCTTTCCATTCTACATCTAAGGTACATTTTTATGAAACTTCATAGTAAAAGTGGCTCAGTTTTAACCACAAATGGAATTCCTATCGGAAATTGCATTCTCTTTTTTTACAGAAATGCAAACTTATAAAACAGAAAGAAACCCATAGCGTCAATCAGTGACAGAACATATAAGAGGTTAGACTCGAAATGCTTATTCTAATAAACTATTGACTAATCAATATTAGTGAAAACATTTTTTTCAGTTAAGCCCTCGTTATTTGCTAGTACACGGCTTGAAATATCTATATAACGGTAAGATTTTGAACAATTCATGACAAAGTTGCGCCATTTCTGAGGTTAATTTTAATTCAATTGAAACTTTATGATTACATAATAACTCTAAACCTACAATATGTGACAATAAGTCATACTTTTGAAGATATTTGTGCTTTTAACATGATCATTTAAAGGTCATTTGTGAATGAATAATCAAATCATTTGCGTTAGGTCGATTTGCGGAGTTTACAGATAGTATATGTTGTATGAACAGATAACAGGCATTTGTAATATGTTGTGGTCGGTCATATGTACAACAACATTTAGTATCCATACTATTAAAATAGAAAACAGTTTTTGTGTCATCTTCGGTTAGCATTTCAAGAATAGTACATCCTAAACTCCTGAAAAAGACCAAAAATTCAATATTTTTAAATATGGTTTGAAGTACTTCTGGTAGAAAGATTACTTCAAATGTACATTTTAATAACAAATTTTGACGTCAGTGATATGTGTTCACCTTTGCTCGACTGTGTTTACAAACGTCAGTGTTGTGTTCGAGATTATATTTCGCTAGAAGTTGTTCAGTTTGAAGTACTTCGTTGTATATTAAACCCTTGCTCCAAAATATGCTTCTGCCCTATTACTCGTTGTTGGTGAAATTGAGGAAAGAGAACGGGATTGTACTTACAACCACTGGCCAGTGTTTGTACTTATCTGAGACCCTGATTCTCTATTATGCCAAATTAAGATCGAGATAGGAAATCTGTTTTATATATATAATATATATATAGACACACGGAAAAACGTTAAGCACTCCTTGGTATATTAAATATATTGAATTATACCATGTTACAACGATAATCAATTAATATCCAAATATTGATTTTAACAGGACCATAGTTCCATAAAAAAATGTGAACATTTAATTATGGCTGGTAGTTGAGATATCAACATGATCAAGGTACTACGCGCCTGAACGATATGCAATATCCAAAATTTAGTATTTCCACGCTTAAAATTTAGGTGTTTAAATCCGGCGTTTTGAAAAATGTATTCATTCTCTGTGAACATGATACGGAGGGGAATATCGAATACTCAAAAGATTGAAAATTGTCAGCAGGCGGTTAACAGGAATGTCTATATTAGCTATTGGGCTTCAAATGGACTATCACTATACTATAGATAGCCTGCTTGTGAGAAAACACATCCAAACCATCTCCGTGAAGGACTTGCCACGATTCAGTAGACCACCTGTAACATTGCAACGTGAAGACAGGGTACTGCATCGCCTGGTTTAACGAATGTTTTTTGCAACTAGCCCTGTTATTAAAAAGAGAATGGATACCTAATAGACGTCTATCAAC